GAGAACAACAATGAGGGAGCAAGTGTGGAGGGTAAGTGATGAGTTCAGTTTTACAGACATTGTGTATGAGTTGTCTGTGATGTATCCAAGTGAAGCTATTGAGTAGACAGTTGGATATATGGGTTTCGAGGTGAAGAGAGAAGCCTGGATTGGATTTATATATTTATAGGTGGTCAGTACATAGATGCTGCTGGGAGTGGATTAGATCACTTAGGGAGACTGTATGAAATGAGAAAAGGGTTAAGATTGATTGGGCCTTGGGTAATTTAAAGTGGGGTGGAAGAAGGAGAGTTAGTAGACGAGGTTAGAAAAGTGGCTGGAGAAGCTGGGGTGGGATGCGGGATGTGGAGTGTGTGATATCTTGAGCCAACAGAGGAGATTGTTTCAAGGAGGAGTGATCAATTGTGTTGATGCTGCTGAAAGGTCAAATAAGAAGAGGAGTTGATAATGGTTGGATTTAGCAACATAGAGGCCACTGGTGAGATTAGCAAGAGCATTTTCTATGGGGTAGCAGAGGCAGAAGCCTGACTGGTAGGGGTCAAAGTAGAAAAGAGGAGACAGCAAATGTGGTCCACCCTTTAGAATAGTTTGGTTGTCAGGTGGGGCAGTAACTGAGGGGGATGTGGAGTCATAGGAAGGTTTTTAAATTTATTTGAAGAAGGGAGCAATGTTGATGAGAAGGACCCAGCAGAGCAGGAGAGAGAGGCATAATAAAGCAACCGTCTGGTCATTGTCCTGGGTTCCTAGCACTGAACTTCTAAAACCCTTGGTATTTCTCAAGTGATTGGAGTGTCTTTGTTATTCATGGGCCCCTAGGATCACAAATGAATTTATGCTAACAAGATGGCTCAGGATGGGGGCTGGTTACCAGAAAGACCAACTATGTGATTAGAAGGTTGGGGCTTTGAGCCAAACACACCTCTGGGGAGGAGAGGCTGAATTCAGTCATGTGGCCAATGATTCAATCCATCACGCCTATGAAATGAAATCCCAATAACAACTCTGGACTGTGAACTTAGTGGAGCTTCCTGGTGGTGAACACATCGATGTGCTGGGAGGGTGACGCACCCTGATTCCACAGGGAGAGGACACAGAAGCTCTGCATCATCCAGGACCCTCCTAGACCTTGCCCTATGTGTCTCTTCATTTGGCTGGTCCTGATTTGTATCCTTTATGATAACATTGTAATAATAAGGATAGCTTTCCTGAGTTCTGTAAGTCATTCTAGTGAACTGTTGAACCTAAAGGACGAGGGGAACCCCCAAATTTGTAGTCAGTAGGTCAGACGAATGAGTGGCCTGGGGACCCGTGAAGTGTGGCTATTATCTGAAGAAAGGGCAGACTTATTGGGGACTGTGCCCTTAGCCTGTGGGGTCTGAGCTAACTCTTGTGGTCAGCATCAGAGTTGTACACCTGCTGGTGTCAGAATAGGGGACCAGAGCACACATGGAAGAGCCGGCCCTTATTAGGAGGTAACAAAATGGACAAAGGCTAGGATGGGTGTAGATGCAGGTAAGTTGTTGGGTTTGGTGGTGGGAAGTTATAGGAGTTCCCCTTTGATTCTTCCATTTTCTCTGCTCACAGTAAAGGGGTTAGGGATTGGAAGTCTGAGGGGAGTGAAGAATGTCCAAAATAATTAGAGAAACTAGGAGATTACATTGCCTGGAACAGGTTCTCTCAACATTATTGACATTTGGGACCAGAAAATTCTTTGTTGAGTGGGGCTGCCCTGTGCATTGTAGGAGAGGCAGCATCCCTAGCCTCTACCCATCAGATGACACGAGCACCCCCCAAGGTGTGACAACTAAAATGTCTTCAGACATTGCTAAATCTTCCCTGGGGGTCAAAGTCACCCTTGGTTGAGAACCTCTGGTCTAGAGAAACACAGTAAGACTGACAGGCAGTGTTAAGGGCCCAGGTGTGGCTGATGGCCACAGATCTGCGGTGGAATCAATGAATCCTTTGTATGTAGAGCCCTCTAGGAGGAAAGGATGTCTCAATCCCTCTTCACACCCTAGAGAAACCTTGCTCCTCCAACCCTGTCCTTTTTCCACCCTCCAGATTTACTAGGTTAACAGTGGGCAGAGTCACTGTGGGTCAAGGGCAGGCCCAGCCATTTTGTTCTCTTCCTTTCTTCCTTCTTCCCTCCTTCCTCTCTTGCTCCTTTCTTTTCTTCCTCTTTTTGGGGAAGAATGGGAGAGAGATGTCCATTTCAGTCTTTGTGTTTAAACCACATGCTCTAGCTTGTTCTACCAGAGAGCCTTGAATTGGGAGTTATGGACACTACCCCAGTTAATCAAAATGTAGAATTCTATGTGCCTTGGTTCCTTGTGTATATATCTCTTTCTCTTAGGAACTTCACAGGAGTGATGCTTGTGACTGGGTATGGGATCTGTGGGTGCCCTATCATAATAGCATCTCACTGCATCCCCAAATCCCCAGTGACCTCTGACATATATACACAAACGGTAGAGCTAAGGCCCTGGCAAGGAGGGTGTTCCACATCCACCCTGAGTGGGTGGACAGCAATTCAGTTCTGACACTAATCTCCCAGGGTTAGCATCAGACTCCACAGGTTTGAGGGCTCAACCTTCACAAGACTGCCTCCCCTTCAGATGCCAGCCATCCGCCACTTCTGACCAGACCTCTACAAACTCAAGGGTTCCCACGACCCCCTCAGGTTCAATAATTCACCAGAAAGACTCACAGATCTCAGGAAAGTGCTACACTTACAATTATAGTTTTATTGTAAAGGATACATACAAGGCAAGTTCTGGGAGAGTCCTGAACATGGAGCTTCCATGCCCTTTCCCTCTGGAGTCAGCGCATGTCAGCCTCCTGACACATTGATTTGTTCACTAACCAGGAAACTCCTGAAAGCCTCAGTGTCTAGAGTTTTTATTGGGGTTTCATACGAGGCATGATTGATTAAACCCTTGGTCTTGTGACTAAGCCCAATCTCCAGTCCACCTCCCCTCCCTGGAGGTCAGACAGCGGAAAGTTCCAACTCTCTAATCATGTGCTTGGTCTTTTTGGTAACCAGTTGCCATCCTAATGCTATCTAGGACCCCACCATGAGTCACCTAATTAGCATAAAAAAGACAGTCCTATCAGGAAATTCCATGGGCTATTAAATCAGAGTCAGGAACTGAAGCTAAAGACCAGATATAGTTTTTACTGAACCACAGAGGCAGTTTGTAATCTGAATGCCAAAGATGAATCCACTGAGAGCCTGACTGGATATGGCTCTTCCTGGTTGCTGACCACAAACCCAAACACTTCCTGACAGATACCTCACTCAGCCTGAGCCAGGCCATGAAACTTGTCTAGGTCATAGTACGACTGTCTGTGCAATACACTAGTTGCTTAATTCTGGGAAACGGCTAACATCCCAATCAAGGTATCCCAGTTGTTCTAAAACAGTTCAGCTCATAATTAAATAGCTGATGTGTTGGCTCAATAAGAGGTAAGGTGATGCTTGTGAAAAATAACTAGAACAATTACAAGATTTGGTAAGATAGAGAACTATTTGTTAAAGCAAGGGATCCCAATTTCAGAGAAAAATGCTCAGGAAAAAAAAATTCTTTGGCTGTATGGAAAGGAAAGGGATTTTAGAGTTCCCCCAAATCAAAGAACTTAGAACCATATGGGCTCACTCCCAATGAGTGAGACTTGAGGCTACAGTATCTGGCCCAGAAAGAGCCCAGGAGTCTTTACGGGAAAGGAGGAGGATGCCCCTGGGAGAGATGCCCTGGATGGTCTCAGTATGCTTCACCCCAAAGAGCGACCCCATCTTGGGAAGGGGAAACTTGACAGTCCAGGAACTTCACATGGTGTTTCACTCCTAAGCTGAAGACTGATAGAATTAGGATTCCTTCTACGGTCACTGAAACACAACTTCCAATCAACCTCAGCAACTCTTTATTAACTCAACAATTATTTACTATATGGCAGGGTTGTAAACTCTGGGAACGCAATGTGGAACAAGCAGAAATGGTCTTTGTCCTTTTGAGATTTAGAGTCTAGTGGAGAAATATGCAATAAACAAATCGATGAATACATAAAATAATTACAAATTGTGATAAGTGCTCTGCAGGAAATAATTTGGCATAAACACTTCCAGGAAACGCACGGTTCACAGAGCAGCCAGACTGGACACATTAATGAAAATATTTTTAAATGCTGGGTCAAATCTACCTTACTGCAATTTCCACACTTTCAAGCTGGTTTTACCCTTTGAAGCAGCAAAGAACACATATTCTGGCCTTTGATGTGACCATCCCTTAACACTGGAAAACAACGACCGGAACTCTTCTGCCGTAAATGGTTCCAGTTCTTTCAACAATTATTTATCAGAATAACAATGTGTTTGAGTTACAGCTCAGCCACTGAGAAGATACTAGATACTAGCTTCTCCCAGCTTCAGTTTCCTCCACTGTGGAGTGGGGGTAATACTCTGTGCTTTGCTGGGCTGTTGTAAGAATCAGAAATAGCAGTATATGTAAAGCAGTGCACAGTATCTACTCCATCCCTTAATGTCCTGTCCTCCTTCTTAAAAATACAAACAAGCAGCTGTTATGTTACCCGTAAAATGTGAAGTCCAGGACTGGGTACAAGGCTCTGGCCATGATATCACTGAGGCAAAACACTAGGCAATGATCTTGTCCTTGGTGTGGGCAGTGTGTGGGTACCAATGGAAGTTAGGACAAATACAACATTTGTATTCTGATGAGCAACAGCTCCCTACTAGCTCACCCTAAACTGGTGGTCACCATCTTATCCACAAGCATATCATGAAATAGGTGGTCAACGCTTTGCTAAAAGTTGCATATAAGGAAATAGACACAGGTGTGGGGGCTAGATCTTGAGCCTGACCATCAGAAGGGAAACATATTCTGAATAGTGTCGACAAAGTTCTGTTTTTGTAAAATGTGTCGGGTAAGTTTGAACACAAGCTCTGAGCTCTGAACGGATGTCAGAATTTCTGCTCTGCGTGGTACCTGTAGAAGGTGTAGCTGGCGTAGCTGTGTTGACAGTGCCCAGGTTCGTCCACCGAGAGGCAAGCCCGGCCCTTGCCATGGCCCGCTGATAGTTATCATAGAGGGTCTTTCCATACTAGGGAGGGAACACAAGAGAAGCAAGAAAGTAATCCACTTAACCCAAATTCTGCACTCAATTGCAATACACCAATTGAGGAAAAAAAAAGTACTTCATGACTACTCTTTCTACTCTTTCCCCGAGATTTTTTTTAGTACAAGTATTTCAATAAAAAATTCACAAAATGTTTTTGCGTGTTAAATAATTTTCCAGATTAGCAGGGTCAGTTAATACTTTTACCTACCCATCAGAGGGAAGCTTTAGCCACGCAATTCTGATTACACGTCTTTATGAAATTCTACCACAGATTACATCTCGTGTTTCTTAATTACACACTACACTTGAAAAGCTCTCCAGGAATAAATCTCTGAAAAGTCTCACGTGAAAGTAAACTCTTGATTCTCAGGTTATTGGAGAGGTCCATGTTTCTATCACGCTCACCTATTTAAAAATAATTTATTTGCTCCAATGGGCAAATAAACAAGATAATATCTGCGGCATTGACCCATTAATGGCATTGACCCATTAAGAATGGATCAACTGTTTTCACAGTATCACAAAGATGACCTAGCTCAGAAAGCCGGTTAGCAAATTCAAGACAGGGTGAGTCAAACGCTCGCTCACCTTGGCGATCCTTATTCCGGTAACCCACTGATTTAGAGTTCTTGCGTCGTCACAGCAGAGATATTTGATATACTGGGACTCCTTCTGAATTTGGGGATGCTAGAAAAAAAGTCATTTCAAAGACCGTTTATAAACTCTTCAATTATTAGCACCTTTCAAAAAATTTTTAAAACTAACAACGTATGAGATTTCCTGAGATGGTGGCAAAAATTACTGGCAGCAATTTTAGGATTAGGAAGAGGGGTACTTTTTAAAATGGGCTCAATTTTGAAAAGATTTAAGGAATCTGTGACATGATTTATCATATGCACTTTTTACTATATTATCAATAATAATGTGTTTCACCCTTTCTTAGCTGTCATCTCCTCCCCAAATGGGCCATTTTGGCCTCTGGACGAATGGCCTGGAGAAGGAATCTTTGTCTATTCTCAAGTAGCAATGAGTTGGAGCGCTGCACTAGGGGTCATCCAGGCTTTCCAGGAGCTCACAGTCAAAGAGAACAGTGATATGGGCAGGCACAAAGGAGAAAGACAGGTCCCTGGTCATACAGAACACCCTACACTCCTCTTTCTCAATCCTCATTACTCTTGTAATTTCTGCTTTATGTCTCCATGAGGGTGGGAACTATGTCTGTTACTCACTGCTGAAGACCCCCAGTGCTCAGGAGATGGACTGGTGCAAGTCCAGAAGTAGAAATAATTATTGAAGGAAACAAACAAGCATAAGATTTCCTGTTCAGCCAGAAGTCTTGTGGCCATAAAGTGAGGGGCAGGCAACTATATCTAGGTTCTAAGATGTGAGCCATGTGAATTTTCATGGGTCACTATAATTTTTAATAAGCTTTATTATATAGAAAAATAATTGCCAACCATAACCATTGTGTGTGTGTGTGTGTGTGTGTGTGTGTGTGTGTGTATGACCACCTCTTTCTTCTTCTTCCATTTCTCAGAGGAGTTTGTTACTCCTGCCAGGATAAGCATAGATCAGTGGTAGTGCTGATGGTGACATGGAATGTCAAGAGAGCTGGAAGCCACCTTCATTGGGCAAGAAGGGAGTGCAGCTGTCTAGTTCCTCTCTTAGGGGGCGGCACGGACCTCCCCACCTCACTTTTGCTTTCAGCTTAACCACTGACCTTCAAGGAAATGGCTATTTTCAAAGTTGATCCAAGCCAAGGGCACTGTGCCTTTGAACTTAGTTTGAATCTGAGAAGCAGCATCTGGACTAGCCACCCTGCTTGTCTTTCTAATGACCCGGCCAGCAAGAGCCAGTGGTATTGCTGTCTTTGCCCAGAAAGGATAACAAGACCCATGTAGACTAAGAGCTTGATGAGAGGTGAGTAATTTTTGGTTTGACAAATGAGAAAACAGGCTCAGAGACATTACTATATACTTCACCCCATGTTCCACTAGAACACGGGTCTCTAGTCCCACCAACTAGAATTTCTGTACTTAGATTAAGCCCTTAAGCCAAAATTCCAGACTTTAAAGATACCACAGAAAAATTCAGAATGATAAGGAATTCCTCCTTTTGGTCTTTTGAGCCGAATGAGGAAAGTCTACCTTCATACTTTTATCTTTAAATAGACCATTCCCTTTATTTAAGTCCTCCAGCCCTCAGAATCAGCATCACTTGAAGAGCCTTTGGTTCCTATTTACTTAGGTACCACATGTTCCCCTGTCTCCCGAGCTGACTGACAACTCCCCACTGGGCTCCTCAGTGTTGCCTGCAGTTGTCCGTCCTGGCTGGCAGGTGGCAGCAAACACTTCTGACTGGCTGCTGCACATTTCCTTGTTATTGGGGTTCAATGCTTCCTCATTAATTCTGAATGTTAGATTTTATTTTTGCAAATGTTACTCCAATAATCATCCTCTTTGGTGGCCCTTAAAATTGGAAATCTCTATCAACTCAGATAATGTAGCCCAACAGCAAAAAAGGATTTGTTACATTAATTAACTGGCAGGTCATATTGATGAAAAGTATCCTAAGCTGAGGACTTATTCCCTGGATGGAATGTGACATTCTACAAATGCCTGCAGCATTCTCTTCAACGATAAAATTCCCAAAGCCAAACCAAAGTCCTTGTCTTTCAGCACCAGAAACACAGCTCCCTGACTGACAACAGCATTCTTGTTCTGACTGTCATGTAAGAGGCAAACATGGGTCTCTTCAGCACTTTATGTTTATAATTGCTCTTAGAAAGCAGCTATTAATTTTTTTTGAGACATTTAAAAAGTTGACATTGTTACCTTGGGCTGGGTATATTAAGCCCCCAATTTTTGGTTTGTTTGTTTGTTGGTGCATGTCAGGTTCCCAGGAGCAGACTATAAATCACACTGTGCTTGCAATGAAATGCACTAAGCAACTGTCTGTATAGAGGTGTCCACTTAAATAGCATAATAAACAATTTCTTAAGTATGTTATTCATTCAAATAGGGTAAAATGTGGTCATTCTCTTACACGTAATGGCTTTTGAGCAAAAAACAGGCAAGGCTCTTGAACTGGAGTTCTAACAATGGCTCCTCCTGTCATGATGAGGAAGATGTACAGACCTTGGTTCATCTCTCCAACATTAGTGGGGTGACTCTTGTCGATTTCCTTATACCATATGCGTACTACAAATGCATATGGGAGAATGAAGCATCAGATGACCTTGAAGGTCTCTTGAATCCTCAGATTTTATGATTAGAACATGAGCTACCAAGCGGGCAGGAGGTTCCCTTCTGGCTCCCTTGTTAATGCAGAAATCCTCTAGGCGCCCAGGACATCATATAGCAAGTCAGGGTGCTTGTTCTCCAGTCATGTCTCGGGACCTCGCCAAGGAGCTTACTCCCTAGCTGAGCCTTTTGCTGAAAAATTATTTACAAAGGAGTTTAAGGAAAAATGCTGGTTCAGTGCCATGGCCAGACTCTTCCACAACTGGTTTGATTGTTCCTGACCATAAAAAGAGAGAAGCTCTCTTACAACACACAGCACAGCACACAAAGGTCAGTGCAATTGCGGAACATTACTGTGCACACGGATCTTACAGATCCTCCAAACTTACAAATGAGGAAACTGAGCACTAGAGAAGTTAAGCCATTTGTTCAATGCCAAAGGAAGTGGCAGAACCACGACTAGAACCAAAGCCCCATTCATTCAACAAATACGTCTGAGTGCTAAGAAATATACCAATCCCTAGGTAAATAGAGATGAGTAAGAAAGGCTCACACCATAATCAGGAAGTGGTGGCTGGGGGTGTTCAGGGGGGAGATGTGTGTAAACAAATATGTGATTACTCTAGGACATAGTAAATTTCATGGTAAAAGTTTGAAGACAGAGACTGAGAAAGGATCTTGGGAAGAAGTGATAGAATGTTGTAATACATTCGGGGAATGTCTATAAGTTCTGTGTGGCTAAGGCCTGGGAGCCATGAAAAGAAGAGGCAGAAAAGAAGCTTGAAAGAAGCCCCAGTCAAGGGCCTTGTGTCAAACTAGCATCTGGACTTGTCCTCTAGGCAGTGGGGCCATCAGACATTTTAGAACAGCCGAATAACACAGGCAGCAATTGGTGGCTGTGTGGAAGGTAGACTTGAATGAGGAGGAAGAACAAAGAGAGGGCGGATGAGAGAAGTCCCTGATAGAAAATCAGAAGAACTTAATGATGAATTGGATCAGAAAACAGACGAGGAGGGACTTCAAGGATGATCTCTCTATTTCTAGCTTGGAAAAGCAGGTGAGTATTATAGGTTTAACTGTGTCCCCTCAAAATGTATGTTGAAGTTCTAACCCCTGGTACCTGCGAATGTGACCTTATTTGGAAATAAGATCTTTGTAGATGTAATCAAGTTAAGATAAGGTCACATTGGATTAGGATGGGCCCTAATCCAATATGAATGGTGTCCTTGTAAGAAGGGGAGAAGCAGCACAGACACACACAGAGAAGACGGCCATGAGATGATGGAGGCAGAGACTGGCAATATGAAGCTGCAAGCCAAGGAATGCCAAGGATTGCTAGAAATTGCTAGAAGCTAGCAGAGAGGCATGGAACAGATTTTCCCTCAGAGCCCTCCAGAATGAACCAACCCTGCTGACACATGGATTCTGGACATCTGGCTTCCTGAACTGTGAGAGAATAAACTTCTGTTGTTTTAAGCCACCCAGCTTGTGGTACTTTACGGCAGCCCCAGGAAAGTGGGTGATGGTACCATTCAACTCGAGAGGGACTGCAGAAAGAAGGAGTTTGTGACAGTGCAGAAAGAGTTAAACTCACCATCTGACAGGTTATGGTTGGGGTGCCCCTTGGACACGATGTTACTTCGGGTGTGTGAGACTAGGAGAGAAGGTAAGACTATTCGCTACAGATTGGGAATTATTAGCACGCAGATGATAGCTGGAGCTGTGGCTGTGAATGCGATCTCTGAGAGAGAGCAGGAAGAGTCTGGCGAGAACCAAATATGGAACTCTGGAGAACATTCCAGGGTGTGTGGGAGGAGGAACCAGCATAAATGGAGCAGGAGCAGGTAGAAAGGGAGAAGTCTAGGCTGAGGATTATAAAATGAGGAAGTTGTCACCAACGCAAATGATGCCAGAGGACCAGAAGCCTGAGGATTGGAAAAAACCATTGTTCACCGGAAACCTTAGTGGTAACACTTTCAGCAGAAGTGGGGGGAGAAGCCTGTGAGCGTGCAAGCTCCACAAAGCCAGAGGTCTCTCTTTTGTTCACTACGTGTCCCTAGGCCTTGAATAGTAGTAGGCTTGAGAGAAATATTTTTAAATGAATGAGTTACACTGACAGGATGAAAGTTGAGGACATTCAGGGTGCATTGCTTTCTCAAGAAGTCTAAGGTAAAGGGAAGGCAGAGGCCAAAGGTGGGGCAGATCAAACTGAGGGAAGTGATTTGGAACCCCAAATCAAGGAATATTTGAATGTATTTGTAGCCCTGTAGCCCAAGGGGAAGAATTCTCTGGACAGAGGTTGAAGATGCTGAAGGAAAAGGGAGTCACTGATGGTGTGGTCCCAGGTGACGGCTGATGTTGGAGGAGGGGCTAGCCTTGGAGGAGGGAGCCTTTTTCCTCCGACAGACATAGCTGGAAGGATGGTTCCTGTGTTAGATGAGTTTAGAGGTAAACAGGAAATAAACTGGGGCAACTCAATCCATTTCTTTTCTACATTCTTTAAGTAGAAGGCAAGGAGTGCTGAGCGAAGGGTTTGAAGATGAGAGATGCTTTGAGAAGAGTGTAGAAGATGTCTGGGGATCAGGCAGAAGATTCAGTTGAGTGGAAATCAGGGGAAAAGTTGCTAAAATCTTTTGTGAGTGCAGGAGATGATCTGGACATCAGCAAAAAGCAGACTGAAGAACCAGAAGTGAATGACTTACTCAACTGTATGAGCCCCAAATGTGACATGGTTCTTGAGCAGGCTAAGGGAAGAAAAGTTTAGTGCTAAGAGAATGTAGACCCTAAATCCCAGCCCTAAGAAATTGAAGACAGGAACAGAAGAGAGTTTGTTTGCAAGAGAACACATTTTATGTAACTAATAAGCATGAATGGCCTTGACCAGGTTCATGAACCTTTGTGAGTTTCTGTTTTCACAAAACCTCCCTCGAAGGGTCGTTGAAAAGATTAAATGAAATAATGTATGAAAAGGACTCATCATGGTGCGTATAACATGACAGGGCATGTTACTATTCATATTAATAATAGAAGCAGGGTTTGAAGGGCACAATGGGGCAGGGGGCTTGACGTGCATTTCTTTTTTTTTTTTTTTATAATTTTTATTTATTTATTTTTTTCCCCCAAAGCCCCAGTAGATAGTTGTATGTCATAGCTGCACATCCTTCTAGTTGCTGTACGTGGGACGCGACCTCAGCATGGCCGGAGAAGCAGTGTATCGGTGCATGCCCGGGATCCGAACCTGGTTCCCCAGCGGTGGAGCACGTGCACTTAACCACTAAGCCACGGGGCCGGCCCTTGACGTGCATTTCTATTCATTCATTCATTGGATGTGTATTGAGCATTTACAATGCATCAAATTATTGATCCAGGCTCTGGAACACAATAGTGGACACAAAAGAAAAAGTCCCTGCCCTCATGGCATTTATATTCTACTAGGGGAGAAAGCCAATAAAAACACAAAATACTCAGTAATATAATTTCAGATTGTGAAGAATCCTTTGAAGAAAATATAGCAGAGTAAAGGGTAGGGAGTAGGTGAGTGACGCAAATGAATTCCAGGGCTCTTTCCATGATACTCCATCACCTCTTAGCAGACCCTGATAAAAGCATATTTTCTCCTGGAAGATCTTCACTTCCACAGCCCCATCACATCTAGCCTCAGAATGGAGTGAGAAAGAATTCACAAAGGAGCAACTTCATCACAGGCTCAGAATGGGAGCGTGCATTAAAGAAATAGCACAAGGAAAGAAAGGATTCTCGAGGACTAAGTCCTTTTGGATTCTGGTATCTTTCCCGTGACTTTGCACAGTCTCTTTAGGGACAAGGGATGTCTATACTGCCTTCTTGAAGTGTGGTCTTGAATCAACACATCAGCATCACCTAGGAACTTGTTAGAAGAGCAAATTCCTGGGCCTGATCCCAGACTCCCTGAATCAGAAACTCTGGGAGCCCAGCAAGCTGCTTCAACAAGCCTCTAGGTGATTCTAATGCACACTGGAGTTTGAGAACCACTGGTCAATAGAAATATTTCCTTAATACTAGAGTGTAGTAATAACACTACCATTTACTGAGTGCTGACTATGTTTCTAAGACATACATTGTTTAATCCACACAAGAAGGATTGGGTATTCTTATTTCTTTCACTTGGTAGAAGAGGGCAATGAGGCTTAGGGAGTCTCGACAGTGTGCCAGGTGACCACGCCAGGACTCAAACTCCAATCCTTCTGACAGCACCCTCCATGGACTGTCATAATCAATAGGCTCATACTGAATAAGAAACTTCTGGGCTGGACTTCTCAGTCAGTGTGTTTCCATGGAATCATGCAATCTCTTAACATGCTTCTCTACATCCTGAATTCCTTTGCAATGTATGTACGTATTGTTTAAATTCTGTAAATCTGTTCATCCTAATGAAATATTTGAATATCAAGACTTTTTTTTCCATAGTGGAGAGGAAGGGAAATAAGTGACCAAAATGTTCATAAACAAATTAGGTTCTCCAAACTGTGAAAGACCCTTTTGCTCAGCAAATTAATAAATATTGCCCACATTTTGGGAAGGAACTGAGAAACATGCTTAAGAGCAAAATGAGCAGGGTAATTGCTCATAAAGAAATTGGCTTGAGAACAGAACTGATGATCATCTTGAGAAAAAAGGAAATGCACGTTCTGCTAGAGCTGCTCCTGACTCTTGTTCATTCCCTGACCCATCAGGCCGGCTGGCTTCTCCAGTTCTGAGCTCTCTCCCCTGTTGGGGAGGCCCCCAACTCTCTCTTGAAGACTCAGGCCTTGGAGATGAGGGTTTTAGAAGTTCTTGTCCTATATCCTGGGACTCAGCATTGCCATTTTCAGTGCAGCCCAGGATGACCTGAGTCCCACACAGAAAATTCAGTTCAAGCTACGATTCTAGCACCTAATCCCAAACTGAGTTCCTGCCCTGCTCACTGTGTCTAAATCCCCATCCTGGGAACCTCTAGGTCTGACATCTTATCCTTCTCTTGCCAGACATGCCTGCTCTGGCCCCGGGACCCTAGCCTGGAGTTTGGGCCCTTGCTCCCTTCCAACAACTTTCATCTTAATTGTCCATTCCAAAGGGTATTTCATCACCGGCTAGGCCCCGACTGTTGATAGTTAGAGTTAGGACACCTTCTAATACTCTGAGTGCAAAACTTGACTGTGCTGAGAAAAAACAGAGATTCCTGGCCCCGTCCTTAAACATTCGATTCAGTGGGTCCAGGGCCCTGGAGCCTATATTTCTAACTGACTCTGATCATCCAGTTTACTGACCAGTATTTCAGAACCTCTCTCCAAAACCTTCTCCCCACTTAAGAGATGGGGGCAAGGCTTCAGAGATGAAGTGCAATGGAACGCCCATATGGAAAGAAGGGCCTCCATTCTGGTGATTTCTCAGAGTCTCAGGATTCCAAACAAGGGCCATGGGGTCAGATAGGAACACAGTGAAGACACCATTCAAGAGTGGCTAGCGGCGCAGGAGGGGTGGGGCAGAGAAGATATTTCGTGTCCTAGCAAACACTGTCTGAGAAAATGGCCTCTGAGGCACCACCTGGTTTCTCATCCTGACTCGGCTACTTCCTGGCTGGGGAGTCTTTGTGCTCAGGTTCCACATCTACAAACTAGGGAGAAATATGGCTCTCTCCTCATAAGGTGGATTAAATGAGTTAATATCTGTAAAGTGCTTAAAAATTGCGTTTTAGTTGCTATATTAGTGTTTGCCATTATTCTCACTACCCCTTCTACGCCAGGGAGAGACAAGGAGGTCCAGGAGCCTGAAGGAGGCAGGACGTTCGCTCTCTTCCTTCTGACCCAGACAGGCCCCCATCTCGGGGCCTCACTTAGTTTTCTTGCTCCTGGAATGCTCCTCCCTGGTAATTCTTGCTCCCTCACTTCACTCACATCTTTTGTCGAATGTCATTCCCTCAGAGAGCCTTTCCCTGACCACACGATCCAAAGAAGACCCGGCCCCAGTCTTGGCACGCTCTGCCCCTGCCTTGCTTCATAGTCACCCACAGCCTTATCATTACCTGACATCACATTACACATTTTTTTGTTTATCGCCATTTCCTTCACACTGAATGTTAACTCCATGAGGACAGGGATTATTGTAGGTTTGGCTCACTTCTATATTCCCAGCACCTGGGACAGTGCCTACCAGAGGGTTGGCATTCAACAAATATTGAATAAATAAATGAATGAGTGAATCTAGCTCTCTCCCTTCCCTCAGTCCCTTCACAGCCATTATCCTGGGGCTCTTCTGTCTACCACAGGGTTTCTCAACAGCAGCCCTGTTGACATTTGTGGGCAGATAACCCTCTGTTGTGGGGTGGGTGACTGACCTACACAGAAGCCTCGCCAGGGACCTGGTCTCCTTAACACCTGCTCCATAAAGACCCGTCCCAGATGGAAAAGGAGGAACTCTGACTCAGAAAGGAGACATTCTGCACGCGGCCTTGCCCTGTGCCGTATGGATTCAGATAATCCACACTCTCTGGTGTGAGATGTGCTTGAGGGGCTGCGAAAGGAAAGGAATTTATGGTGTTTGAGGCAACAGCAAGTCCAGAACAGCTATGTAAATTCCTTGAATCCATTTCTAGGAGTCAGTTGTTACATTTGGCAGATAAAAGTCACTTCTGCCCAACCCTCTAAAATATGGTGCTAATGTAAACCTTACCCAACACCTGATAATACATACTGCCTTTTGATAACATGCACCTTAAAAAGTTTCAAGGCTACCCAGTAATATTACTTTTAGAAAAAGAGATTTTTTTCTATTTTTTGTATTTTCTATATTTTTCTAGGAAATCTTGTCAAGTTTCTAATTTCCAAAGACTTCTTACAATGGAATAAGAGTCTGATAAATAAAAAACTGGAAAATTTATTGTTTTATCAATAAAATTATAAGTAAAATTTGTTCAAAACGTGGAGCTTTCATTTTCATAAGTGAGGAAGAAGCCTGGACAGACTCTTGAAAGTTTTAGACTCAGCTAACAGGCATTGGGGAAAATAATCTGAACTGGGAGAAATGTTTCGCTCTTTCCTATTTTGGTTTAAAATAAAAAGCTTATTATGTTATACTTGTGGTTAACCATGTAACATTTAACATTTTTTTTCCTTAAAAGGAAATATTAACGCAAATTGCTTACAAATCTCAAGTAAGGACTTCTTCCAACATACCTTTAAAACGAAGCAGTAATCAGTGGGTGCTTTATATTTCATTTTACACTGAATCCCATAGTAAATGTTGACATTTTCAAACTGTATAAAACACGCCAGATCTCGGGAGGTCTGAAAGAGAAGGGAAAAAAAAAGAACGTTAACCGAGTTGAAAGTTAATATTTTTCCAAGGTTGTTCTTAATGGCACAACTAAGGATTACATTTTAGTAGAAAAAATATTGAATTTTAGGTAATTTATTTAAACATCTACCGTGTATAGTTTTCTCAGAGCCAAGCCTGCATTTCAAGAGGTAAAAGAATACACCCAAGGCAAAACAGCATGCCACAGGCCCAGGAAAGGAGCGAAAGATTACACTGCTGTTCTAGTGTCTGCATGTGGAGTCCCAGGGTCAGAGCTGACTGGTCCACCTGGGACATCATTATCGATGTCGTCAAGACAAGGTGACCGACAACCTAGTCAGAAATCTCACTTTGGCTTTTGTCATTCTAAGTCAATGATGGATTTCATGATTGAACATTTAACAAAAAAGCCGCCCTCAGGATGAACAATGAGAGGTCAATTTGATGCTCGGTAAATTAGCACACACTTCACGCAGTTCTTCCTGAGAAAAAAAGATTCCTTTCATGCTTTCTCTCTAGTGCTGGCAGTGTTGCTATGGAAACAGGAACCTCTCCTCCATGTATAACACGCCTTGTGAAGACTACACCCTCTAATCTACATATTTTGTTACACTTCAATTACAAATTTATTCTATTACTCTTTTTTCCCCTTCACATTCTATAGTTCTTTACCTAATTAGTGAATAAAGAATAAAAGGCAGAATTGCTACACCTCAGTGCACAATTATTCCTTTATATATGGTTGTACATTTTTTTCTTGTAAGATATTTTCTTCTGGATTTCCAAAGTTTTAATTACAAAAATAACATATATTCATCATAATTTTTAAAACTGTATATATATAATGAAATGAAAATTTTCCTTCATCATCCCTTTTTCTAATTCCACTCTTTTCTCCAGAAGTACCTTAGTCGATAGTTTGGTAGTATTTTTTCAAATGTTTTTGGGTAAACATTTATATACATATGTATGTGTAGATATACCCACATACATACATATACTTATATATATACAATTTTAAAAATATAAATGAGATTTTACTATAAATACTGTTCTATAAACTTGTTCTTTTTCTTAACATTATATCTTGGGGTCTTTCTACATCAGGACATATGAATGGATATATGACATTCATTTTTATGGCTGCATAGCATTCCACTTGTATCGGTGCAATGATTGATCTAGCCATTCTACTCAAGATGACTAGAGGTTATTTCAACATTTTGCTCTTACAAAAACCACCGTGCATATGAGCAAATATTTCTTTGGGACAGATTGTCAAACATGGAGCTGACTTTTGAAGGAGTATTCCCTTTTATATTTGCATAGATCTTGCTAAATTGTCCCCTAATTTGGCTGTACCAGTTTACATTCCAACCTTCTATGTATGAGAGTGCCTATTTTTCTTACCGACTCCTGCTGAACTTTGGATATTAACAATACTGTTAATTTCATCAATCTCATGGAAGGAAATATTTCACTATTTAATTTGCATTTCCCTGGTTACTAGTAAGACAGAGCGGCTTTTTAATTATTCAGTGGCTGCTGATATTTCTTTTTCTTTGAATTCTCACTTAATAAGGGCTGCTGTTTTTCTCATTTATCTTTTTCCTATTGATTTGTTGAAGTCTTTATATTTTATCGATATTCATACTAGGTTATACATATTGCAAATGGACTCTGACTCAAGAGCTAGTCTTTAATTTCTTGTTTGGCATCTTTGGCCATAAGGAATTAAAAACTACTTTATATAGTCAAATCTGTCAATTTTCTCCTTTATAATTTTGAGTTTTTAGTCTTCTTAAGAAGGCTTCCCCACCCCCAAATTCTGAAAATATTAGCCTATATTTTCTTCTAAGATTTTATATATATTTTTTCTGTATATATTTAATCAACCTAGGATTTAATATGGAACATGGTATATGAGGTAGGAATGTATTTTTTTCAAATGGATATACAATTATTTCAGTGAATGACTGAATATCACATTCTTTCCCCACTGCTATAAAATGCTCACTTTAATTTGCCTTATATTAGATGGCTCTCTGTTGATATTTATCTCTACCTGTATTATCTAATGTTTTGACACCTGGGAGGAGAAGTTCTACCTCAATGTTCTTCACAATTTTATTTTGGAACAATGTCTCTTTCTGATGAATTTTAGAATCAGTCTGTGAACTTTAAGTAAAAAGAATCCTATCGAAATTTTTCTTGGGATTGAATATATAGAAAAAATTGGAAGAGGGACTGGCCCCGTGGCCTGGTGGTTAAGGGCGCGCACTCCACTGCTGGCGGCACGGGTTCGGATCCAGGGCACGCACCGACGCACCGCTTCTCCGGCCATGCTGAGGCCGCGTCCCACATACAGCAACTAGAAGGATGTGCAGCTACGACATACAACTATCTACTGGGGCTTTGGGGGAAAAATAAATAAAATAAAATTATAAAAAAAAAAAAGAAAAAATTGGGAGAGAATTAATATCTTTTCTATTTCTATTTATTTAGTTTTCTATTTCTATTTATTTATTACATTTCTATTTATTTAATTCTACTCACTTCCTTTATTAAATTGTATATTTTACGCCATAAAGGTCTTGAACATTTCTTCTTAAGTTTATTGTTAGGTATTTTATTTTTTTTGTACCAGCTACACACAGAATCTTTTGCATGATATTTTAATTTGCATATTGTTTGTGTAAAGGAAAACAACTTCTTATTTGGCAAATTTATTTGGTCCTAACAATTTTTAGTAGAGTGTCTTATATTGTCTGATAGACAATCATGTCAACTGTGAATAAACAGAGTTTTTGCCTCTTCTTTTCCAATATTATACTTCTTATTCTTTCTCTTGACTCACTGGCTAGTTCCTCCACTCCAATGTTAATGGGAGCAGTGAGAGATCGTGTCCAACCCCAGTGTGATCACTTTTAATTTTTATCACTAAGTGTGTTGTTTGTGATAGATTTATTTATATGTCTCATTTATATGTAAATGCCAAACACGTAACATTTCTGAAATAAAACAAATTATTTGTGGGTCAACTGTCATGTCCCCAGTGTGGGACTGGACTGAAGATGGCACACGGATGGGAAAGTGTCAGTTCTAAGACTGAGGCCAAGCAGGAGCAGTAGCTGCCCTGAACCAAGCATCACCCATAATGCCTCTCCTGCACTCCGATGGAGGTAAGACAGTCTTCTTCTAACTAATGGGAGCAGACTTGGATATTCACCAGGACTTCACCTGCATGGGATGTGGTCAAGCCTTATTAGAAGCAGCCTGCAATTTGTAAATATGCCATTTGGTGGTGCTCTGGATTCGGTCATGAAGGCAAAATGCTTTAGTTTACCCCAGATATGGGTAAGAGAGATAGCCTAAAGCTTTTTTTCCGTTTTGTGACGAGGACTAGCACTGAGCTAACATCCATGCCAATCCTCCCCTTTTTTTTTTCCTTGAGGAAGATTGGCCCTGAGCTAACATCTGTGCCCACCTTCCTCTACTTTACATGGGACGTCGCCACAGCATGGCCTGACAAGAGGTGGTCAGTGCGCACCCGGGATCCGAACCTGTGAACCCCGGGCCGATGAAGTGGAGCGCGCGCCCTTAACTGCTTGTGCCACTGGGCAGGCCCCTAAAGATTTAAAGGTAAGCAAAAGATGGAAATGCCCCAGGCCTTTAAGAAAGGGCTTAGAAAAAGCTAATGGTCAGAAGGAGAGTTAAAATTACATTTCAAAGACAAAGAATTTACTATATGCTTACAGATTTGATGCAATAATCCTCAGTTTTACCAAGAAGAAGTTAAATGATGTCTAAGATACTCTGCTAAATTAGGCAGGGAAATGGATATAGTACACCTCAGAGAACAATTTAAATGTTCAGAGTAGAAGGGCTAAAATCTAAATGAAGATCTGTCATGACTTATACTTCTGTGATTCCAGATAAAAGAAGTTTTACTATAATGACTATAGAACAAGAGAGTAAATACAGGGTAAAAAAAAGTCCTGAGAAATAGATATGCAAAGTAACAAATTAATCTCTAGAAAAGTGCTTCTGCCATAATTTTTGAAACCTGGCCTTAAAATAGATAAAATTCTTCACTTTCAAGAGAGAGCTATGGAAAAATTCAACAGGATTTCTGTGATTCTGTCCTAATAGAGTATGTATTTGTACAAATGTTATAGTAACATGAATCTCACAGCAAAAGAGTGTATTTAAATTGCCACCTGAGGATTTCTTTAGTTTCACTCTCATGAAATGCTTTTTTGCTAAAGTGTTTTTTTTTTCTTTCTGACCTTTGTCTTTCCTTTGGGTACATAATAAATTCCAGAAGCCCGTAAAAGAAAGTAGCGCCTTTTCCAGGATTTCTTGCCATCTTCTTTCAAATAAAGAGCTCCTTCAAGTTCTGGTACAATGACGGATGTTCCACAGAAACTTTCCTGAAATTGAGATTCCGATTATTTAAAACATGAAGGCTTAAATACACATTTTGTTCACATTTAAACAAACTGCAGCAAACTAGCCTTTAAGCTAAAAGTCATTTTGTCTACAACTCTGATTGAATGCCTATATTTACACTGCATACCATTTGCCAAAAAAGAGGAAGAATAGCACGGTGGCTGAGGTCTCAGCGTTTGAGTTAGACTTCAAGGCTTCTTCACCTCAGAAGGCTTAGCTCTGTGACCATGGGCAAGTCACTAAACTTCAGTTCCTTTACTTGCAAGCTTGGAGTAATAATAGCCTCAGCTTCATAAAGAAGGTTGTGAGTACAATCTTGTACTTACAATATTTTACAATATTGTAAAAGTAAGTGCTAAATAAAGTCTATTTCTATTATTATAAGTTGGTAAATAGAAAAATGATTCCTTTTCCTATAAGTAAAAAAATTACTCTTTTACTGCTAGTAAATAGAAAAATTATAACATAAAATTCTATACATAAAACATATGTATGTTAACATTTTATTCTTGGGATAATTTTTTAAATTGAGATACAATTGACATGTAACACTGTATTTGTTTTAGTTGTAGAATCTAATGATTCAATATATGTGTATATTGCAAAGTTTACCACAATAACTTTACTTAACATCTATTACCTCAGAGAGTTACAAATTGTTTTTCTTGTGATGAGAACTTATAAAATCTACTCTTTTTGCAACGTTCAAATATACAATACAGTATTGTTAACCATAGTCACCATGCTGTACATTACATCCCCAGGACTTATTTATTTTATAACTGGAAGTTTGTACATTTTGACCCCCTTCACCCATTTCGCGCCCCCAACACCCTGCCTCCGGCACTGACCAATCTGTTCTATGTATCTATAAGTTCAGTTTTCTTTTTTTTCCGCTTCCAGATATAAGTGAGATCATACAGTATTTTTCTTTCTCTGTCTGGCGTATTTCACTTAGCATAATGCCCTCGAGGTCCATCCATGTTGTCGCAAATGACAAGATTTCCTTCTATTGGGATACTTTTCTTATCAAAGAATGAAGAAGGCAATTTTTATACTATGGTATCAGAAAAAGACAGTGACAAAGTACATTTTCTAGGTGTACATTTTCAAATGCCAAAACTTGCCTAGAATTATATCTCTTTTTTTTTCTTTTTTAAAGATTTTATTTTATTTATTTTCCCCCCCAAAGCCCCAGTAGATAGCCGTATGTCATAGCCGCGCATCCCTCCAGTTGCTGCATGTGGGACCCGGCCCCAGGATGGACGGAGAAGTGGTGCCTCAGTGCGCACCCGGGATCCGAACCCGGGCCACCAGCATCAGAGCGCGCGCACCCAACCACCAAGCCACGGGGCCGGCCCTATATAATTCTTGATAAATTTCTTTAAAAAAGCAATGCAATAAAATTACATATTATTTTAACTTCCAGTTCAAATACTCAAACTTATTTCTTGCTTTCTTTTCTATAGCTCTCAATCTCCTTTCATTCAGTCTCATGAATGTAGAATAACTTCTAACTTTGCATCCTTCAAGTAAATTTATAGTTAGTGGAGCTAGGATACATATTTGTTCACATTTCCCACCAAAATTTAGCTAGTATTAGTCGCCTTGTCAATAATCTCTTAAATTCATTCATATTTTGGGGCCAAATTAGAAAGCAGGATAATGCCGATTTTTCATAGCATAACACGCTTTATATTTTCTTTCACATCCAGCTTTTAAAACACTGCTGGAGTCCTATAACAAGAACTATTCAGGCAGTTGTATACACCAAGGCATAACCAGTCCCTGATTTACAGACAGCTGACGTATAACCAGTGACTAAAAACAAACGGCCCTGTTGGGAAACCGTTCACTCCCCTTCCATGTCTGCCAGTCTCCATCTCTGCTAGAAATGCTCAGAACCTGGATCTCCTTGCTGCTGGGGACGCCTGGTGCCTGATCTTCCTCAACTCACCCTGGAGTCTGTTTGATAAATGCAGAAACAATGTCCCCATTCCCACTGTTGGGCCTCCCTGGAAAATGCCCACTGTGCTCTTGGTCCCGGGAACCAGAACTTGTAACGTGTTTTCAGGACCTTGGGAGTGTCAGCAAGGTTGTGGTGCCTGCTCCATCTGGTACAGGGCTGGGAGAGCCCGGCAAGGACAGAAACCTGTGCAGGCCCTGGGCAGACTTGGTGAATGGGAGATGGCGCTCTTCAGTGTCAGCAAACTGGCTCCAGGTGGGAATGGGGGCACAGGGGTCACCAGGTCTTCAGATTTTTAAGAGAAGCCCAAAATTTACTAACTCGAGAAAAGGTCAACACATTGCTGGGAGCGAAGAAAGCCTGTCTGGTGCTCCAGCATGCCCATTTGGGACCTGTGATCTACCACGCATCTGCATTAGGTGCTGGAAACAGGGCCTCGATTTTTAGCATAGTTACTGTCTGAAAACTCATTAGGAGTTTCAAAAAAATCAACCATGTCCCTATAGTGATAATCACAGACATCTGTACAGTAATTGACACACTGTACTTCCACTACCTCCCTGGATCTCTGTAATAATTCGTTATGATTTAGGAAACCGAGGTTCTTGGACTGGCCCAATAACACATGAACCTCACCAGGCAGAGCCAACCTTGTGTCAGGTCTCTAACTCCAGATCTCACCCTTCCTACCACACCTGGCTGCTGGAGGAGCATCTTAGAATTCACTGTAAAGACTTGGAAATCCTTATGTCTGACTTCTGTGGAGCACTCAAGTAATGAAATGTATGGGATGTTGAGAGATGAATTTTATGCAGATTCATAAGTCTTTTAGTCAAGAATTACTAATCCAACTTCATGAAAAGCAAAATATATTGTCTAAAGCCACACTTTTTAACAAATGTCTCAAAGAGGCAGTTTAATTATTCAAATAGCTATATTTTAGTAATAATCTGATTTTAAAACCTCAAGTTAAAATTTCAGCGTGTTTCAGTCTCCCTTTATTCTGAGAAGCAAATAATTTAAAAATAGATACAGCTAACATCTCTCCCTTTTCTTCTACTCTGCAAAATTAAACTTACCTCAAGTAAGAATTCCTTGTTCTTGGCATTCATTTTCTCATTTGTTTCCTTGCTTTCTTTTTTTCCTTTGTTATCCAAGTAAAAATTCTAAATAAAATATTAAAAGATCAGATCAGTAAGTGTTCATCACCATGCCAGCCACCGCAAGGAAGTCGTGGTCTTGCTGGACAGAGAAGACGCACCTGTATGAAATACACTGGGAACAACAGCATATGCTATCTGTCAACCAAGGGCTTATGCGGGCCTTACAGAGAGGTGACTACCACATAACGGGGCAGAAGTAAAACCCTCCCTTCCTCCCATGGTGCACAATCAGGAAACAAACACAAGATAGAAAACACTAGCAATGGATATGACATCATTTAATTGTTACATTCCATGGTCTAGAACAAGTGTCAAATGCTGGAAGCTGGGAGACCCTAGTGCACTCAGAAGAGCTCATGTGTGGAGCCCAGGTGGAGCCCATGTCCCATGCTCTGGCTAGTGGACACCATGTTGAGTCCCAAGGCCTTGTGGACTAAAGATTCTGGTTTACCAAGAGAAGCTTGATATCTGGATTTTTATAAATGTTGGCAACTAATTTTAATTTTTAAAAACTACATGGGTCAATCACAGCACAGAATTTGTTACTTGGAAACTCCTAAGGACAGGCAGAAGTAGAAAGGGCATTTCTGGAAAGACAGCCAGCCTAACAAAGGCAGGGACGACCATGGTTTCAAAGCACATCACGAATGGGTGCATGGTCTCTAACTGGGATTTGTATTAATCTATGTATCATATCTTGTTAAAACTGAATATCAATGAGGTGGCTGAAATGAAATGTTAAATGCATAAATTGCCCCCCAAAATCATGAGTATCCAAGGACTAAATTTTACATAACCAGCACAGGTGAAGTATCAATATGCAAAGTGGTTATTATAAGTGACCACTGTCATAGGTAAGGTGTTGAGGACTTATATGTGAAAATGTAGAATTTTATAAAATAATGCATAAAAAGTGTATTAAACTAGAACATATACCTCCGGAGCACAGTGAGTAAATTAAGGACCCTCCTGAATATAGACACAGACGTTTATTTACACCATAGGAGTGTTTCTCCAAGTGAGAGCCCCAGACTCCGTAGCATGTGCTGTTCATCATCATCTGGGAAAAGGAGAGTGCGTGTTACCCTCTGCAGGGACAGACAAGGGAAGAGCCTTTCTAAACTGTGAAGGGCCTCATTTCATGAGGATATCCCAAAGGGTAGAGATCTGTAGTCCTTCTCTGAGACTTTTCTCTGAGACCCCTCTCACTCTTTCAGCTTCTGAATAACTTTTTTTTCCTTCCAAGTGAGAGTGCTACATTGTGTTTTTGTTTTTGTTTTAATGGAAATGCAAAAAACACAAAGTAAATTTGAGCCGGAGATGGAGGAGGACAGCCCTTAGAAAGGACCGATTGCCCTTGGGTCACAACTGTCACCTGCCGTGTGGTCAGCCAACTCAATTTGGGCTGCTCTCTAGCAAGTAGTAGAACTTAAAAGTAATTCATTATCCATTGCAAATGGAAACTGTGGACAATCTGAGCTGAACAATAAGGGAACTTTAAAATGGGAAATGAGACTTTCAGTCACAGCATGCTCCCTTTTCTCACAGCTTCTGAAAATGCAAGATTTGGGGACAGCTGGCTAGGAAAGAGAGCAAATGCGTTACATTTCTAATATCACATTCTTGGAATAAAAAGTAAATCAAGCAAACAGTTAACAGTCCGTGAATAAATATTTGTGAGTACCCTTTACATGTAAGATATCCGTGTTCTTAAGAAGCTTTCTATCACATTGAGATTAACATAAACAGATGGCTGTATACCTACAGAGGGGGGAGCTATGTAAGACATTGCATGAATTCAAAATGGGCCAAGTTCCATAGATTTTCACAGAGGAAGAAATCACTGTGGGCTGAGATGGTCAAGGGGGACTTTACGGAGAAGGTCAAAGTTTGAACTAAGCCTTGAAAGATGTTCAATATTCAGATAGGGGAAAAGGAATAAGGAGAACATTCCAGGCAGGAAGAAAAGCATGTACAAAGGCACAGAGGTAGTTAAATATCGGGTATTTGGACCACCCATGAACAACCATTCTGGCTAGAGCTGGGGATTAATGCAGCACACCAGATGAAGACCAGCCATGGCTACCAATTCTCCTCTTCCTCCCTGTGTCAGAGTACACCCACGACCGTGGTAAGGGGACTGTGCAGTGCCTCCCCCTCGACTGGGGGAGCTTATTTCCTTGCCCCATTATATTGGGTTTCGCCCCATGACTTGCTTTGGCCAACAGAATGGGTGTGGAAGGGCCACTGCATCAATTCTGAGCAGAGGACTTGAGAGGTGGCGTCGCGTGTTCCATTCACCAGGAGAAGAATGTGTCCCAGGTAGCTGCTGGGCTGAGGACAATGAGACATGTGGAACTACCTGAATCTGACTCACATTCTGGAGCCAAGGACAGATGACCTACAGACCCAGAAGAGAGGAAGTGTCTGTTGTTGTAAGCCACAGAGATTCCGAGGTCGCTTTTATGCATCAAACATTGACTAATACACACGCCCACTATGGCTGGTGAGAGTATCTAAGGCCCTAAAGCCAAGGGTAGACTCTCCTTTAAAATAGTAGCCCATACTGGAGGCCATTGTGTGACTTTCCTTCCAGCTGGGCCTGATCCTGGATGGTCACAGATGAACCGTGGCGGGAGAGGGAGGTTGGAAAGGAATGGAGGAAAGGACGCCATGGGTAATTTTCCCCCACAGTGGCCGGCACCCTTCTACACCTGAGGGGAAGAATGAAGTTGTGTTTCTCCCTCTGCTCCTCACACGTGCAGCCAACTAAACCACAACCACCACCAAATTTCAGTTAAGAAACGGAACAATGATGGAATGAATATTGCCTAAAATATCAACAGTCATTGTTGGAGTGTGGGATTATGGATGATTTAAATTTTGTTTCTTTTATTTTTCAACTTTTAAAAAAAGAAATTGATACTATTTTTGAAGTCAAAAAAATAAAAGATGTTATTAAAGGAAATAAAAAGCAATTCAGTAAGCAAGCAACCTCATATTAATGGATGTTATCAATACCTTCTCTGAAAAACAGATTCTGCGGGCTCCTAGCAAGAAGAATGGTTCATGTTAATACTGGAGTGCCTCTCCCTCCTCAGACACAGTCCTCAGTCCTTACATCTCTTTTGGTTTCAGGCAAGGTCACTGGACTTTGCACAGTGGGGCTACATGTCAGCATAACTGGGAAAACGAAACTCTTTAGGGGACAGCTGACTGCCATCTGAACATCTGGCACTTACGGAAGAAGAGTAGACCACCCCGCGAGTCCAATCAACTGGGAAGAGGAACTTTCCTAATGACAACCAGACTGAGAAACAAAGCCGCATTTTTTTTTTTTTTTGTGAGGAAGATCAGCCCTGAGCTAACATCCATGCTAATCCTCCTCTTTTTGCTGAGGAAGACCGGCTCTGCCAAGCTGCCTTTTAAATAAAGTTGCTTTTATTAAGATAGTAAGGTTCTAGGGCCCCAACCCACTCTACTTAAAAGAGGCAGTACCCCCCGGGCAAGAGGGATCCTTGCCCTGACCCCACACTTTAAAGAGCCCCTGCTCTGACTCTCACCCAGCCACTCCCTTATTCACGGGGTGATGAATCTTTGGGGCCCAAAGGATGTGCCTGCCTGAAGCCAATGACCTCCACATTCCAGTCCATACTCCAAGGCCTTGGAATTCCCTGCCCAAATGGTCCTGAGACTGTCCTGCATCCATCCTCCTGAGGGCGGATGGCACTGCTAGTGTAGGCATCCTAGGTCAGAGAGGGTGGCCAAGGGGAAGCTGTTTGCAGGGGAGTGATGGGTTGTATGGGGTTTGTTGTCTGGGCTGGAGTGTCCACATGCATGCATGCAAGGCTCCCACGGTGCAGGACGGATGGGATGGGTGGAGGGGGAGAGTTTGGGGGCAGGCCGTGGGCAGCTCTATGACCCTACCTTCTTGCACACAACTCAAAGAAATCTAAGAATACTAAATCCAAACTTTTAGGTCATTATGGAGGCATTAAGGGAGGAGGATAGAACGCATTTCATTTAACTGCTTATTAACTTGATTTAGAACTTTAACTATATAGATGTATGGTATATGTGCCTTTAATTGTACTCTTGCCCTAGGTCCCATAAATGTTGGGGGTGGGCCTGCCCAAAGGCCTGTCGTCCATTCCCTGTGGGATTCCACATTGCCTCCCACCCCCCCATCCTTGTATTCTCTTCTTCTAGTCATCAAGCTTAATTGAAATGCAAATTAGAAATATAAAAGAATTTCTTTAGACACTTTCTTTGAGAAAAGGCTTAATTTTCTAGGCTATTTGAAGTCCTGGGAAGCTTTCTCAACCACAGAGCGGCCAGAATTGTTAATGGGTAGAATCTGACATCTCCCTTTCTTCTTCCTAGATCTTCCTGCCCATCAGCCTACATCCTTTAAGTCTACACTCTGGGCCCTGGGCTGTAACAGATCCCATCTCTGACAACTCTGTCTTGGTGCTCAGGACACAGCGGTGAACACCCCTCCTCAGCCCACAGTATCCTGGCTGCACTCCATTGGCTGTCTGCCCCCATGTCCCCAGATACCCAGCTGAGCAGAATATCCCCATGTCACTGCATGGGTCCTCTGCACAGACCTCACTTCCTATAGAATGCTGGCTATTGCTTTTAATTTCACACTATCTCCTAGACGCATCTGCTCCCTCAGCTCTTTACTTCCAGCAGACAGCCCCTGGCCTTGCATCTTGTCTACAGTCTCTTTCACTGGCTTTATTCCAGCACAGTGTAGATACTCAAGAAATGTTTGGTGATGACTCTTGAGCAAATGCCCGGCATCATGGGGAATGTAGGGATTAAGGGATTTAAATCTTTACTCCCTTAATTTGTCCTAACCAACTTCAGAGTCTAGAGAGCTCTGACGAGAACAATCACCCTATGGAAACTGCTCATCAATGTCCTCAATGATAGTCTTAAGATCAAAGGCCTCCTTTCTATCTTTGATCTCAGTTTTCTCATCTGTAAAGGAAGAG